GGGACTGATCAATGGCAGAGATTTTATCTTTGCTATCTTTGTGATGGCCAATTTATGGGAAGTTCTTCAACAACCTATAGAACCTTCAACACTGACTAGTATGCATGACCTGTCATGCTTCTACACCTGCGTAATATCCTGGTGACATGCACCCTCGAAATTTCCCTTTTGCTACGCACTTCTCCATACGCCTTCCTACCCACCATCTTCCGATATTCTCTCTTGACACTTCCTTGAAGATAGGAGTCATTTTTAAAACGATTCCTCCATTTCTCCGAAAAAACTGTCGTTGAACCGAGGGGACAAGAGTGGGAAAGGGGCCACGGAAATCAAGAAAAGTCACCAACCGAAAACATTCTTCTCGAAGGATAGGACCTTCCCCTCCCTCCAGTGACCGAAGACGACCCCCTTCCTTCCTCACTGGGGATTCCTACCATACGCGTGTCCTGCCTGATGAGGTTACCATTTATGTATCTGACTTTCGAAGTGAGCTAGGTCTCAACGGTAGCCCTTTTCACGGTAGGCAACTTGACGGAATTGCCTCGTACGGACTAATCCTTCATCGAGTAGCGCCTATGAGCACATTCGAGAAAGTGACAGTAGCAAGTGGTGTCGCTATGGTACCCACAGTCTATGGGTAACCTCTCGTGTGTGAACTTGCGCTGTACGCCCAATCCTCCAATCCTTTCGAAACGGTTAATTAGTACCAGATCGTCTGAGTGGAGTAAACTGACGAGCCCATCGCTTTACCTTCGAAAATCATTGTATAATGTAAGCAGCGGATAAAATACGACTGCAATGCCGCCTTTCTGCTCAGAGATACAGTACAGGTGATTCATTTATCCAAAATTGTAGAGACTCCTGAAGTTGTATCGGGTCACACAGTGAATGCCAAACAATAGGGCTACTATGAGTATACGTTTTTTCCTTCCTCTGCAAGGCAGGATTATCAGACGACGTCCAACATTGCTATCTACAGTCTTGCTCGCTGCAGATGCTTAGGCGTGTCAGGTAGCCGGTCCGTTTTTCCACCAAAGCTGTTGTCACTTTGCCCTTCATCAACTGGGCTGAGCTAGAGCCACGCACAGTAATACTTCCCTGATTGTGCTGAGCGTCCCTTCAGTAGGTAGCCGCCCTCAGCTGCCTCGATCCCTATCAGTATTCTTCAGAAATGTTTTTCAGATGTTTTCTGACACGGCGAGCTCACATTCGTCCGGAGTGCAACGAAGCGAATTTGAAAGCGGATCGGAAGTGAGTGGTGCTGAGACGGTGATCTTCTTGGGACCATCACCTCGTGGTCTTCATCGGTCTACCTCCATCTATCCACCCAGTAGCCCATCCATAAGCTCAAAGGTTTGTTTTAATATGCTGTGCTCTAAAGATTCCATCTGACTGGAGGGGGGAGGAGGTTGAACACACGGGAAACTGCTTCAGTGATAACTCGTCTCAATGAGTAGGAGTTGGCACTGAGACGGCTAAGAGGTTATGCTCAAATGTACCACGATCACGATCTCTTTGCAAAAGATAGGCATTGTCTCTCTTGAAATGCTCATCGGTTTTTGTGAGCAAAGGCGCGTAATAGGGTGTATTTCGCGGTTCAGGGGTGGGGTTTATAAGTGGTGGAGACCACATGTGATGAGCGGGTGGAAACCAAGCCAGCGTGATGGAACAAGAATGTTTCTTTTCATGGTTATGGAAACATGAGATAAGCATGATGATAAATAAGGAGTAGCCACCAGTATGGTTACGAAAGTTCGTGGAATGCGGCGAAAGCATTTCAAATGATTGACTGTCCTTCATTGATGAATTTCGCAATGGCGGCATGGTTAAGAAATGAAAATCGCCAAGTAGAGCGGTGTTTTTCATTTTGCTTGTCAGTCATTTTTCATGCGTCTCTGCGCGATGCTGCCACGGCGGCATAGTTCGCCGATAAATCTGAACTTGGTGAAAAAGGATCGTTGAAGAGGGTTGTTTGCCGCGTATCTTTGCAGACCACGGCTACATATCAGTAACATCAACTTCCGCGGGAAACAGCGACCACAAGGATCACCTGCGTTCGTAGTGGAAAGCTCGAGCTTGAATCCCTCTTTGGCTCATATCACATCGTTCTAAGATCATGCAAGCTCCTAAGCTACTACGCGCGCACGATTTGGTTCATAGAAATATCAAACTGGCGGCGGTATGCAGGACCTACTGCTTGGGTTCTGTCGTGCCTCTTCAGTGCTTCAAAATTCTCATTTGTTTGGTGGTCATCTACGCTCCATGATTTCAGCTCACTCAGACGTCGGGAAGCTCAACACGTACCTGCACCGGCTCAATACCCCCCATGCTCAAGGTATGGCCCTTTGTATACATTCGAATTTGCATGTAATTATCTGTTCAAAGTTAAAGGGGTCCGCGATAAGGAGTGAAAGTGATGATGGAGAATTATGGAGAAAAATTTGCCAAGTGACTCGTCTGTGAAGAGAAAATGCCAAAGGGGGCCTTGGAAACGGACTTATTTGTACCACTCCAGCTACAAACTATTGTATGG